TTCCATACACCAATTATTCAATCTGTTTAAATCTTCTTGTAAATTGATTTGGTCAAATTTTGAATTTATTGGTCGAAATAATTTCAAATCGTTTCAAATCGTCAGCAAATAATAGAAACTCGCAGTTCACAAAACATCTACTGATATCATTCACAAAAATGTTGAACAAAATGGGAGCACAATGAGAACCTTGAGGTACTCCTGATGAAACCTGTATATGACTGGATTTGAACGAGCCAACTCGAACACACTGTCTACGGCCTATTAGGAAGCTTTTCAACCATTTCAAAAACCAATCAGAAAATCCAAAAGCTCCTAGTTTAGACAAAAGAATGGAATGATCTACTCTGTCAAATGCCTTAGAAAAATCAGTATAAATAGCGTCAACCTGATATTTATTTTCCAAAGCATTTAGTATTTTGGTCTCATAAACTAGCAAGTTTGTGACAGTGGACTTGTTCCTTGAAAATCCATGCTGGTTACTGATTAACAGCTCTTTACAACAATAATTGAGTTGATCGGCAATTAAAGAGTCGAAAAGTTTTGGAATCACAGATTGGTTACAAACGCCCCGATAATTTTTGATATTTTCTCTGTCTCCGGATTTGAAAATTGGGATAATAAAACTATCTTTCCAAGCATCAGGAAATATGCCCGTATCTAGTGAGAGCTTGAATAATACAAGTAACGCAGGAGTTAAGGAGCAAATACAGTATTTCAAAAACATATTAGGAATTCCATCTGGACCACTACTCAATTTATTGGGCAACTTGGAAATTTTCTCATAAATCATGTAGCTATTCAACACCGGATTAGAAATATAGAAGTTGTTAAATCCTTGAAAATCATCACAGTTTGAATTTATTGATGGTTTTACATAAACCGTTGAAAAATAATCTGCAAAATATTGTACAATCTGCTCACCATTTTCTGCAGTATTATCATCAAGAAACATTGTATCTGGAATTGTATTTGTGGACGATTTACTCTTCAAATATTGCCAAAAATATTTAGGGTTATTATTCAATGAATATTCGATGCGGAAAATATAGTTCTCATAACAAACTTTTGATAAATTCTTGCATGAAGTCCTGAGTTCTGAAAAGTGTTGGTAATCAAGAGCACATTTGCTAGCCTTATATTGCTGATGAGCAATTTTTTTAAGTGTAATCAAGTGTCTAAGTTCCGTTGAAAACCATTTGGGAAAAGACGAATTCCTATATTTTTTGAGATGCACAAATAATGCTATAGCCATATTCAAAATATTATAAAATTCTAATGTGGCGATATTTATATCTCTATTGTTCAGACATTCACTCCAACGTATAGCAGCAAAATAGTTGTTTAGTCCTATAACATCAGCATTTTTGAAATCGTAATAGTACTCACCATATTTCAAACTGTCTTTCACTTGATGTTTCAATGAATGATTCAAGCAATAACATTCGTCCATCACATTACCTACTATAACATCATACAGGATGATTATTACTTTCCACAAGAAAAAGAAATACAACCCTAGAAATTATAGTCATGTTGATTATCATTGAGATTAGGAATTGGAATTGATGTTAATCTTGCTTTTATACGTGAAATTGAAGCGTTGCGTAGTATTTATCTCAAAATTAATTCTTTTTTTTTGATAAAGTTTCGCGTTTGGTAATAATTGTGATCTTATTATTTGAAGAAATTCATTTAAACAGTATGGACAATTTGGAATGCTTTATTATGGTTGCTTGTTTGTCAACTTCAAAAATTTCATGTCACAGTTTACAAAAATCATATACAGGGTGGAATTTTTGGTGATTATTACCCTCTACCAAAAAATTACTGAATCCAACCCTGGAAATAGAAGAATGTTGATTATTGTTGAGCTGAAGAATTGAGAATAATTTTATCGTAACTTTTATTCGTGAAATTCATGCATTGCGAAGTATTAATTTTCAAATTAATACATTTGTTGCCCAAGTTTCGCGTGTAGTATGAATTACTCATTTTCTAAGAAATCCAATGAAAGTGTGAGGTAAATTTGAAATACTTCATTTTGGTTGCCTGTTCATCAACTTCAAAAATTCCATATCACAGTTTACTAAAACCTAATACAGGGTGGAATTTTTTATATGAACCAAATTCGCAGAATTTCTCAAGGCCGGTCCTGGATTTTCACGATCCTGAATACATCGGTTGATTGCTGAGTGACAGCATAATAATCCATGGAAAAATGAAAGGAATCGAAAGAACTGTTGGAAAGCTATGATTGAAAGAAGTTTTGGCCATATTCCATAAATCACCCTATAGATTATCTAAAAAGAGGCAGAGACACTTTCTGATAGTCATTCGGTATTCCACTCAGGTGCCACTATTCGTAGTAGGAGCATGTACAGTTCCTCATGACTCACCCTGTGTATATCAATTTTTTTGTGGTCATGAATATATATCTGAGTATATTCCTTTTCAATACAGGGTGTTTCATTGGGAAAGGTGAATAATTCAACTGTGATTAGGGGTCACTGGGGTGATTTCAAAAAACCCATGGTTGATGGGTCTTCGACTTCTTATAACCGAGATACAGGATGTTTTATCAATTTTGTCCATATCTTCATTGTCTCATAACTTTCCAATCAACCTGTATATATTTTTAAAAATTGGTACACTTGCTCAATCTATCCTGTGGAATTGATTGAGGCAACAACAAAAGATTAAATCCAGGTCCGGCTTCACTTAAAATTCACAAATTCTTTCTGCCAGAAAACAACACCCTATACATTCGAATTTCTCATTTTCTTTGCCATATCTGAAAAGAACATCAAAATGTCTATTCAACAATGTGCTCTTTATTCGTGCACAGACGATTTTAACTATTCATATTATGTGCTCAAAATATTATTTTTGCTCATTTTGGGGTACAAAATTGGAATCAGACGAGGTTTACTAATTTTTTCTACAAACGTCAAAAAATGACAAGGTTCGCGCATTGATAACAAATTGCGAAGTGACACTTTTTTTCAGTTTCCTACGTTACCATGATTCCTTGCAAAAAACAATGCGCGAAGTAAAACAGTGCGCGAAGTACCTACTTCGCGCATTGTTATGTAAAATATATGAGATATTTATATTTCAACTTTATGTTCCTCAATCGAGCAGACATCCACAAAATCATTTATTTCTGAATGTTCAACAATAACTTTGTTTTTTCTCTTGGAGCGCACGAAAGGAAATTCCTATTATGTTCGTGGAACATCGTGCGTACCTAGGGAGGATAGGGGAAGACCTTTTAAGCCAGTTCAACACTATTTTTTATATCGAGCTGAGCATATTTTCACTTTAGAACTATATTTTTTGACGTTTGTAGAAAAAATTTTGTTTGCAACTCGAGCGCGAAATACTTTGGTCATCTCGACTATTTTTTTAACTCGGCTACGCCTCGTTAAAAAAATCAGATCTCGATCACCAAAGTAGCATTTTGCGCTCTAGATACAAAAATAACTATTATTACTTCCTATTCAGTATACTTGAGTATTACATTAAGAAGGAGTATTTCATATCGTTCTTTGTTCCAGACTTAGTTGCAGGTCCGTCATCAAAACTATACAGGGCTTTCCACAATAAGCGTTAATTAGATGTTTCTGGCAAACCAGGCAACGGATGAATCTAAAAATACGAAGGTATGTATAAATTAACATGATCTACACGTCTGAAATATTTGGAACAATCCGGCGTTGCCGCTTCTACTCGAAAGTAACAGTAACTTTGATTTTTCAAATGGGACACCCTGGATGCCTCCTGGAAAGCTGATTTAATCGATTCACAAAGTTTGGGGTCCAGTGGGACTAATAATTGAGATATTTAGAGTGAGGAAAATCGAGATGTTTCAACTTTAGAGTTATTTTGCGAAAATATGTAATATTGATCAAAACGGCTTTTATGTCCCTATCTTAACTTTGTATCTATCGACATTCAATCGAAACAAATACAGGATGGTTGATAATTCAGATTTCTGCACCACCCTGTATCTGTTTCAATTTAATATCGATTGGAAAGTTGAGATAGGGGCATTGAAGCCGTTTTGACCATGCAATAATAAATAGTTTCAACACAAAACATTTCTAAAGTTGAAACATCTCGATTTTCCACATCCTATATCTCAGTTATCAGTCCCGCTAGACCTTGAATGTAATGAAATACAGGGTGTCCCATTTGAAAAATCGAAGTTGCTGCTACTTTCTAGTAGAAGCGGCAAGGCCGGATCGTTTCAAATATTTCAGTAGTGTAGATTATGTTAATTTATACATACCATCGAAATTTCAGATTTATCCGCTGCCTGGTTTGCCCGAAACATCTAATTAACGCTTATCGTGAAAAGCCCTGTATAGTTTTGATGATGGACCTGCAACTAAGTCTGAAACAAAGAACGATATGAAATACTCCTTCTAAATGTAATCTCCACGTATTTTGAATAGGAAGTAATAACATTAATAAATCTCGTCTGATTCCAATTTTGTACCCCAAAATGAGCAAAAATAATATTTTGAACACATAATATGAATGGTTGAAATTGTCTGTGCACGAATAAAAAGCACATCGTTGAATATAAATTTTGATGTTCTCTTCAGATATTGCAAAAAAAATGAGAGATTCGAATGTATAGGGTGTTGTTTTCTGGCAGAAAGAATTTGTGAATTTAAAGTGAAGCCGGACCTGGATTTTATTTTTTGTTGTTGCCTCAATCAATTCCATAGGGTAGATTGACCAAGTGTACCAATTTTTAAAAATATATACAGGTTGGTTGGAAAGTTATGAGACAATGAAGATATGGACAAAATCGATAAAACATCCTGTATCTCCGTTATGAGAAGTCGAAGACCCATCAACCATGGGTTTTTTGAAATTACCTCAGTGACCCATATCCACAGTCGAATTTTTTACCTTTCCCAATGAAACACCCGTATAATGAAACATTCTCAAACATCCTTCAATGTTCTTTTTGTTGGATATTCCAGGACGATGGGCCCCCTCAAGGACGAATACTGCACGCCGACGATCAGCCGCTTCTCGCAGCACCGTCGCACCGTTTCGGAGGCGGGGCCCGGCCGGGGGGCGGGGCCCAGCAGCCGAGAGGCGGGGCAGCTGGCGACGGGGCGGCCCGACGTGCTGCCCGGCGATTCGCCGGATTCGACGACGGGGCGGGTACTACCGGCGGCGGCGGAGGCGGGGACTTCGCTGCGGAGGAAGGACTCGGTGGCTAGGATGACGTGGGACGGACTGTCGTACGTCGTGACGGTGAGTTCGTTGTGTGTTTTCCACACCTTTTTCAATTGAATACTACAGGGGGAAAAATGGGAATGTCACAATATAGTGGAAATTGAAGAAGATGGTGTGCCTATGCGCATATTATGTGACGTCATTTGGGATACCAATATCAGCTGCTAGTCAAAGACAGATACCTTCGCCATTGGCGTGCGCTATGAATTCAAATAAGTTTATTGAAAGTTCTATGATTCTCGATCTGTCTAGAAAAAATTGAATTCATCTTATCCCTCCGATTTTACTATTCCAGTGATTCAAGAATTTGTGATCCTTCGGTAATTTGAAATCGCAAATAGCAAATACATAAGATTTATCATGCATTGCCAATCCCATCGAATGATCCACCACTATATCGATTCTGACAGATTAAAATTCAGCAGTTAACAACGTTGACGTTGCTTCTGCTTTGACATCGATAACAGAAGTAACATTTTTTGCCGTTTTGTTATTCAAATATTTCCTGCAATTTATACAGTCTGTCCAAGATAAGGTTGAACAGCATGGGGATCTCGCAAACGGTAAGAGATACGAAATCGGTTAAATGGGGAAAAAGTTGCGCATTCGGAGGCTCATATCAAGAGCCTTCGAAAATTTTGAAAATTATTTCTAGTTTTTGAGTTATATCGAAAAAAGTGAATTTTTGGAATTTCTATTTTATTTTTTTTCTCCGTTATTATTAGAGATACAGCAAAACTGAGAATACTTTTTCATAGCAACTTTTAATGACGGTCAACGTGGTGATACCGATTTTTTCATGCGACGTTTCGTATTCGTGGAACCATCATCAACTTTTGTTTTTTAAATACGGTCCTGATAATTTTTTCACAGATTCTTAAAGGTTTTTTTATTCTGAATTCAACCATATATTATACAAGGTGGTTCATTTGTGTTTCGACCTGTTTTTGGCCATCATCAATGTTTTTTCGAAACTCCAAAGGAAAAATGCCATCAGTTCCACTTATTTTGAAGGAAAATTAGTCAACACACTAATACCTCATCAACTGGTTTCAATCAACAACCCATTTCATTTTGCGGAAACAAAAATTCCATCCATACAAATTCAGAATATGTCAAGCGCTAAAACCAGGCGATGACGAAAGGCGCAAGACATTCTGTGAGTGGTATACCAGGAAATGTTGAAATTTTGCAGATTTCTTTCGAACAATCATCTGGACTGATGAAAGCATGGTCACTAATCATGGTAGCTTCGATAGAAAAAATACACATTATTGTTCACGAGAAAATGAACATTTATACATTACAGCGAGACACCAACACCGTTTCGGCTTTAATATGTGGGTTGCAATATTTGGTACACGAATTATTGTTCCTTCTATTTACCATGAAACACAGACTTCCGAACGTTATAGAAATTCGCTTGAGAATCATCTTGAGGAAGCTCTGGATGATTTACCGATTGCGGAAGTTCAGAACTGTTGGTTTCAACAAGATGGAGCTCCGGTACATAATTCCAGAGAAGTCCGTGCGTTTTATTCCTTGGCCGGCGCGGTCGCCTGATTTGACACAGCTGGATTTTTTCTTAGGGGATATATCGAACTTTGTACACGCAAATAACTTTGAGGATGAAGAAGAACTAAGGGACAGTGTCTTCGAAGCATTCAATAGAATAACCCCAGAAATGCTTAGCAATGTCTTAGAAACAACTGTGAGAAGAGGATATCTTTGTTCAGAAAATAATGGTTATCATTTTGAACATTTGTTATGAATGTCTCTATAGGTATTGTCAAAGTTAAGTTGTTAAAGTAATTCGTGTAAGAATTCATCAACAATTTTAAACGCTGCATTGATCGAATGATGTAGTGAAATATTTTTCATTCACTTTTCAGTATTGAATAACTAATCCATCAAGTTTGACACTAAATGATAAGAAATAAGTGGAAATGATGGTTTTTTTTCTTTTGGAAGTTCGAAAAAACATTGATGATGGATAGAAATAGGTCGAAACACATACGAATCTCCTTGTATAGTAAATTGTTGAATTCAGAATAAAAAAACCTTTCAGAATCTGTAAAAAAATTATCAGGACCGTATTTAAAAAACAAAAGTTGATGATGGTTCCACGAATACGAAACGTCGCATAACAAAATCGGTATCACCACGTTAAACCTCATCAAAAGTTGCAATGAAAAAATATTTTCAGTTTTCCTGTATCGCTGATAATAACGGAGAAAAAAAATAAAATAGAAATTCCAAAAATTCACTTTTTTCGATATAACTCAAAAACTAAAAATAATTTTCAAAATTTTCGAAGGCTCTTGATATGAGCCTCCGAATGCGCAACTTTTTCCCCATTTAAGCGACTTCGTATTTCCTACCGTTTCCGAGATCCCCATGCTGTTCAACCTTATCTTGGACAGACTGTATATTGTGAAAAATCAAGTATTCTGAATTGATTCTCATTTATTTCTAACTTAATATTCGACGGGAGATGTTCTGTAGGAATGGCATCTTGTTTCAAATATTCGTGATTTTTTGGAGGTGTGTATTTCAACAACTGTACTTTCAAACTTGTTTGAGAACATTTTGCATGGAAAATTTCGAACACAATGATGATAATATAATAGGTGAATAGGTGAGGTAGGTGCCATTATTCTAGTTCATTTTCGGTCGGCAGCAAGCTTTCACTCATCGTTTCATTAGATCTCCATTCTTGGAAAAACAGAGGAATTCAATATCTGTGCCTTTTTATATTAGTTGGAATTTTCATAACCAGAAACGAAAGAAGTGGGTATTTCGAAATTATCTCATTCAATTTTAGAACATCGATCACGAAAACCAATAATTACAATGACAGTTATATCCCAGTTGACGTCATGCGCAGAAAAAGACGAGTTTGAGCTTTCTGTCGAGCACACCATCTTCAATTTCCACTATGGCCTAACCACTATATTTTAGTATAAACAGAAGTCCATAGCAATAATGCTGCATAGTCAGCTAATATGTTCGTTCCAGAATATGTTCACATGGAAAAAAAACTCGGAATGTCCACTTCAAAAATGTGAAGATAGAAAAACGTCCAAGCTTAGAACTTGCTTGCTTGCTTTAATACAGATTCCATTGTCATTTCAATTGGTTGTTTTCAGACTGTCAAAATCCTTCCAATGAATAGATTCAGGGTAGGGAGTGCGGTAAACCATGATCATACTCTAGCTGATGATAAACAAGTTTTTCTACTCACATAACTAAAATGACATTCAGCGTACGGATATGTACCAGATTGATGATTTGTGATTTATTCAAAAAAATAAACACGTTTTATAACTATCTAATTACTAACTTATAACTATAATCACGAATTTTTTACTCATCATTCAATGGAAAAACCGCCAATTCGTCAATCTCGATCTCAAACTAGCAGAACCAATAATCTAATCACATGTTAATGAACATTCTATTGAGTCATCAATAAGTCACTAGTTCAATTCTATTTTTTTTTTCCACATCCGCATATTTGCAACCCTTATTTCATCAGAAAAAAACAACGGCTCTGCTAGCTTTATGTCAACCTAGCAGAACCATAGCTGAAAATTCATTTTTTTGAAAATGCCTCATTTGATGAAAAAGAGGCCGATTTGTCAATCTCGATCTCAACCTGGGAGAACTGAACAAGTTAGTAATCAAATCTAATATAATATGTATACAATTCTCCTGTCCCGGTCACGGTGTTAGTGTTAGTATGAAATTTTTTGTGCGTGTTCGGTAGATATGAGAATCGGTCGTAATCTATTTTCCAAATCGAAAATTCAAGATGACGGCTCCAATATGGCGGACGAGTATTGTTATCCGATTTCATTCAAAATTGGTATTTGGGGGGTTTTCGGAGTCGGAGATTATGATCCTTTAGTAAAATTTTGGAAATTCAAGATGGCGGATCCATTATTATATGGCGGACGAGTTTTGTAATTATGGTCAGATTCCATTCAAAATTGGTATCTGGGGGTTTTCGAGGCCGGAGATTATGATTTATTCATCAAAATTGGGAAATTCAAAATGGCGGATCCAATATGGCGGACGAGTTTTTTTATTTATGGTCCGATTATATTCAAAATTGGTATCTGGGGATTTTTGGGGTCGAAGATTATGATTCATTCGTCAAAAATAGGAAATTCAAAATGGCGGATCCAATATAGCAGTTTTTCGATTATGGGCCGGTTCCATTCAAAATTGGTATCTGGAGGTTTTTGGGGTCGGAGATTAAGATTCATCTGTCGAAATTTGGAAATTCAAGATGGAGGATCCAATATATGGCAGACGAATTTTGTATTTATGGTCAGATTCTATCGAAATTGGTAACTGGGGACTTTTGAGATCGGAGATCATGATTTCTTCATCGAAATAAGGAATTCAAAATGGCGGATGTGATATCACAGACGAGTTTTTTAATTTTGATCAGATTCTATTCAGAATTGGTATCTGGGGATTTTAGGACTCGGAGATAATGATTCTTCCATTAAAAATTTGGAAATCCAAGATGGGAGATCCAATATGGCAGGCGAGTTTTTTGTAATTATGATCCGATTCCATCCAAAATTTGAATCTGGGGATTTTGGGGTCACAAATTATAATTCTTTCATCAAAATTTGGAAATTCAAGATGGCAAATCCAATATGGCGGACAGGTTTTGTACCTAATGTTCCAATTTTACTCAAAATTGGTATATGGGTGTTTTCGTGGTAGGACATTATGATTCTTTCGTCTAAATTGAGAAATTCAAGATGGTGGAACCGATATAGCGAACAAGTTGTTATTATGATCCAATTCTATTCAAAATTGGTATCTGGGATTTTCGGGGTCGGAGATTATGATTCCAACGTAACAATTAGGCGATTGAAGATGACGGTCGTGTTTTGTGATCATGATACGTATTCAAAATTTGAATTTGGGGGTTTTTGGGGTCGGAGAATATGATCTTTTTCTCCAAAACTGGGAAATTCAAGATAGCGGATCCAATA